TTACGGAGTTCAGAGTAAGCTTTTGTTTAGGGAGTCATGTGTCAGGCATGTGGGCAATGTGTCTACCCATCACAGCTGGTTGTGTATGACCAGTGCCTTGATACTGGAGATGTTGGCCTGAGAGAGAACACTAATGTTGGTATGCCTATTCTATCAATAGATTTGAGAAATTTTGTAAAGGCATCACTCTTCGTGGAGGTTGGAGACCTGCTCTGCAGACTATGAGCTTGGTGCTGGTTTGAGGTCTCAGACTTTGAATACTGTTCTTCATGCATCTGAAGGCTACAGTGGCACATTGGAGTCAATGTTGGTTTTCATTGTCAATGTCAATTTTCATCATCAATGTCTGTCTGCTCCGAGAGGAAGCTCCAGAGGTATGGGAAATGATCCACATCATGCAGAATTTTTACATGGATTTTGATGGTCAAGGGGCAATGTTGTGTGGCAGGAGTGAGCTGGTATAGATTGCTCATTTTCTGCAGAGTCACTGGATTCAATATATTGAACTCTATTTTTCTCCAGCCCTTTCCGTTTTGTTTCAGATTTCCAGCATCGACAGTTCTTTGCTTTTATTTTGTTTTCCAGACATATAGTCCAAGGCCCGTTCTCTCATGTGCCTCGGGAATGCATTAACAATGGTTTGCAGATTGGCCTTGAGTGTGTGCACATGCAGGTGTTGTTTGTGAACTGCAGCTTGATGACGGAAGTTCGGGTGGTTTTGGTCTGGCTTGGCATCGAATGTTGAACAGTTTCCCACTCATCCTTTAGGTTAGTTCCACTCTGGTGGGAAGCTTCATGGAGATGGGGTGATGCTTATCCATTTCTGTAGCTATTTCATTGACAGAGTTAAGTGTCAATCCTTTCTAGGTTTGCAAAGATGCACAAGATGCAATGTGCCACCACAGTCTTAGAGACTATCAGAGGCAAGTACTGCAAAAGTGACTTCTGACCTCCCAGGCAGTGAAATTGTGATCAGTATCCTTCTATCCTCTCCATCACCTGATGTTTAGCAACATGTTGTGGAGACCATCAGTTTTTCTTATTTTTTGATATGAAACTATCAGTTGAAGTTAAGAAATAAATTGGAACAGCTTGTTTAAAAAGAGAACAAAGACAGTTGATTTTAGTTGGGAACTGGCCTGCAAATCTCTCTCTTCTTTCTCTCTAGTTGCTCTCCAGGTATCAAATTGTTGAATGTTCTTAGGAAAGATGCCTTATTTATAAGAAATAAGTATTTTAGAAATAAATATTTGCATTAATTGTGAGAGACAAAAAATCTTTAAATGCTGCAATCCAAAGTAGACAAACAGGAGGCTGGAAGAACACAGAGGGCCAAGCAGCATCTGGAGGAAAGGAGAAGTCAACGTTTTGAGTATTACCCTTCTTCAGGACTGAATGTGAGGGTAGGGGGAGCTGCAGATAAGGGGGGGAAGGGAGGAGGTAGCGGAATGGTGATGATAAGTGGACACTGGTAGTAGATTTGACCTGGTTGGCCAATGGGATGGATGAATCTGGTTGGTAGCTGGAAGGGAGGGTCAGTAGGTGGAACGGAAGGGAGAAGGTGGGGCTGGAAAGGGAGCCGGGGGATGAGTGGGAAGGTTATTTGAAGTGGAGAACTCAATGTTGAGTCCTCTGAGCTGTCGGGTGCCTAGGTGGAAGATAAGATGTTCCTCAAATTTACATTCTGAATTGCTGTGGCGCTGGAGCAGGCCGAAGACGGAAATGTCGGAGGGGGAGTTGAGGGGTGAGTTGAAATGGGCGGTTACCAGGAGGTTAGGCTGGCTGTTATGGGCCAGGCGAAGATGCTCGGCAAAACGGTCACCTAGTCTACGTTTGGTCTCACCGATACAGAGAAGAGACAGAGCTTCACCTGCATCTGCTCCAAGCTAGACTACTGCATCCGGTGCTCCTGATGTGATCTTCTCTACATCGATAAGACCAAACGTAGACTAGGTGACCGTTTCACCGAGCATCTTCGCCTGGCCCGTAACGGCCAGCCTGATCTCCCGGTCACCACTCATTTCAACTCACCACCTCATTTCCCGTCTGACATGTCCGTCCTTGGCCTCCTCCAGTGTCACAGCAATTCAGAACGCAACTTTGAGGAACAACACCTTATCTTCCACCTGGGCACCTACAGCCTAGAAGACTCAACATTGAGTTCTCCAATTTCAAATAATCTTCCCATCCATCCCCTGGCTCCCTTTCCAGCCCCACCTCCTCCCTTCCATTCTACCTACTGACCCTCCCTTCCAGATACCAACTGGATTGATCCCTCCCATCGACCAACCAGGTCGTACCTATTACCAATGTCCACCTATCACCACCATTCCACTACTCCCTCCCCCCTTCTTTATCTGCAGCTAACCCTAACCCCAAATCCTGTCCTGAAGAAGGGTAATACATGAAACATTGACTTCTCTTTTCCTCGAGATGCTGCTTGGCTTGCTGTGTTCTTCCAGCTTCCTTGTTTGTCTGCATTAATTTTGACTTTGAAATTCAAGCAAGAAATACAGTTCTACTTGCCTGTGAGTAATCCATATCCAAGAATTCCTTGAAGGCCTGGTATCCATCATTTGAAACTGTTTACTGATCTGGCAAATTACAATTACTTTATTTTATTTTTAATCTATCCCTTAAACGTGCCTGAGTGTGTATGAGTGGGAATTATGTTCAAAGAAGGTTGGGCTTTAGATTGTAAATTTAGATTACCTTGTGTGCCATCTGTGCTCTGCCAGAGTTACATTAATAATAAATTGTTTTTTTGATTGAGTTATAAACTTGGTGTCCAAGATCTGATATTTGAATTGAATTGAATCAAATCATTTATTGTCACCTGTATTCAATGTAAAAATACACTGAAAAGTGTGTACCTTTGCCATATATACATGGCGCCATTCACATTAACTTAGAATAAGAAATAAAAGATAACTTAAGAGAGTCCAACTTTCCCTTCCACTGCCGTGTCCCCCTCTCGGTTGCGTCACTGACCCGATCTCATTGCCACTGCTTCACTGGCCTGCTCTTGGCTGCCTCATCAGCTTGCTCTTGCCACTACTGCCTCACCAGCCCACTCTCACCAGCCCAATCTTGATCCGCCGCTGTTGCTCTGGCCCCCGCTTGATCCGCCATCGCTGTATAGCACAACCCACACATTCAACTCCCGCCACGTGGTTCCCGGTCGTGACCCAGCTCCTTCCCAACAGTTTGGTTAGGAACAATAGTGCAATTTTAACCATCATTGAATGTTTGAATTTCAGTGTTGAGAATCCAGTGATAGTGAGGCTGATTTGGTTTGGCTTAGCCCTGTGTTGTAACAATAAGTGTTGATTTAAAATTCCTATGCTGTGTTACTGGTCCTCTATAGAACCATAGAAATGATCCAGTGTAGAAGGGGACCATTCACCCCGTCTTGTCCATGGTGACCCAAAGTCAGATGCCCTTTCTAATCCCATTTTCCTGCACAAGGCCCATAGCCCTGCAGCTTACAGCACTTAAGGTGCAGGTCCAGCACTTTTAAAGAGTTTAGTTTCTCCACCAACAACTCAAACAGTGAATTCTCCAATTCCCACCGCCCTCTGCGTAAAAACAATTTTTCTCACGTTCTCTCTAATTCTTCTGCAGCTTAGCTTGAATTTGTGACCCCTGTTTTTTGAACTGTCTGCCAAGGGAAACAGGTTAGCCTCCTGTCTACTGTATCTCAATCCCTCACAATCTTCTAAGCCTCAGTCATGTTATTAAGCAGATTGGACCAGATGTTCGCAGGTAGAGGGTCAGCTGGAAAATGGGAAGCCTTCAAAAATGAGATAACGAGAGTCCAGAGACAGTATGTTCCTGTGGGCAAGGCTGGTAGGTGTACGGAATGCTAGATGACTGGCGAAATTGAGGTTTTGGTCAAGAATAGGAAGCATATGTCAGGTATAGACAGCAGGGATCAAGTGAATGCCTAGAAGAGAATAAAGGCAGTAGGAGTATGCTCAAGAGGGAAGTCAGTGGGGGATGGGTGGTGCAAAAGGAGACATAGCAAATAGGGTTAAGAATTCTATAAATACATTAAGGGCCCCTTAAAGATCAGCAAGGCTGCCAATGTGTGGAACCACAGGAGGTGGGGGAGATACTTAACAAGTATTTTGCATCAGTGTTTACTGCTGGGAAGGATATGGAAGATAGAGAACATGGGCAGAAATAAATAGCGACATTTTGAAAAATGTCCATATTACAAAGGAGAAAGTGCTAGACGTCTTAAAATGCATAAGGATAGATAAATCCCAGGGACCTGATCAGGTGTACCATAGAACTCTGTGGGAAGCTAGGCTGGGCTCCTTGCTGAGATATTTGAATCATAGATAGCCACAAGTGAGGTGCGGGAAGACTGGAGGTTGGCTAACGTTGTGCCACTATTTAAGGAAGGTGACAAGGAAAATCCAGGAACGTGAGCCTTACATCAGTGATGGGCAATTTGTTGGAGGGAATCCTGAGGGACAGGATTTACATGTATTTGGAAAGGCAAGGACGTTTCGTTTCGTATGCGTTTTCCCTATGTTTTAGCATTTCTTGTGAATTGACCTGCTGAGTGCAAGACGAAATAGCTTTTAACAAAATGTGGCCTTTTCCAGGAATACTTATAGAATTGCACATAAATAGACGCCTCTCTGGAAGCTTTTCATAGGCTGCATCACACGGTATCCAGTACGTCTGCAGGCCAAGCAGCTGTAAAATATTATTTACACAAAGTGGCATTTCGAAACGCCTCTGTCTCTTTAACCATAAAAATGAAAACAAAGAATCGACAGATTAGCAAGAAGACGTTATGAATTCCGGCGGGGAAAACCCGGCTCCGCCAAACAACAAAGCGCGCCAGCGTCTGATTGGATGTGGCCGGACGTTCCAATGCATGAATGGAGCTGTCAATCATGTATTATGACGTCGCCAGATGCCGTCGTCGCGTTCGGTTGGTGTCTGCAGAAAAGGCGGGAAATGCTTAAACGCGCGAGTTTGTGTCTGAGTGGCTGGTCTGTCACCGCCGGATTATTTGTTTACTTTCACTACTTTTCCGCTGTTCTTCGGGGATCGCCCTTACGATGGCGGATAATCAGATCGCCGGCGGTTCTCCCAAGCGTGTGTCGGTCATTAAAACTACGCCGATTAAACCCAAGCGCCTGGATGTGAGCCCTACGAGCCCCGGCTTCAGTGATTTTATGGTGTATCCGTGGCGATGGGGCGAGAACGCCCACAATGTCACCCTCAGCCCTGGCGCCCCTTTCAACGGTCCCGGCGCCAGGGAAACCCAATGCGGGACAGCGGCCGCTCTGCACCGGGAGCTGGATCACCTTTCACAGGTCAGTGAGAGCGGCTGCGGCAAAACCCGAAGCAGCCTAAGAGCCGGGCAACTGAAAGTGAACTGGAGTCCTGTAGAGTTTGTATTTTGAAATGCTTGAGCTTTTCTCTTTCAGTTCCATGTCCGCGAACTCCTCCTTTAGATCTAAAGTGGGGGTGGGAATGTTTAATTTTATTTTTAAATCGGTAAATTTAAAAAGTAGGGTTTTAACGCGGGCTGGCGCGTTGCGGCTGGAACTGTGAAATTTGTCTGGCTCCCGCTTGGCGCCCATTTTCAGTGAGTGTGAGTGCGGGGGTGGTCTGGAGGGCTAAATAAACAAAGTGGTGTCAGCAGCAACACCTTCAGTCCGAGCCACACTTTAAAGCTCGGCCATTCACCCCTCTGAGACATTAAGTCCGAGACCCGTTGCTTTCCCGCCACCAGTGTTGCTGACTCTTTACTGTGGAAAGAAAAAACAATTCAAATGAATGAAATCACTTCCTGGAGAGCTTGTCAAAACTCCAGCGCGCCAAAAAAGGAACGAGTTTCCTCCCCCGGACTTGTTTAAAGAGATCCTGCTCTCTTGTATTGTTCTGGCTGTACGAATTGCATCTTGTCCAAAGTCACGCCGCTCTGCGTTGTCCACATGTTCACTTTCTGTGATTACACTGTGTAGACTGATATAAGCGATCCCACGATCACGCCTTTCATTCAGTTTCAGTGCGGAGGATGATTTCACTTGGTTTCTGTGGCAAAACATCCAACTCTGGAAGCCTGCCATGATTTTCTGGTAGAGTTAGCTAGCTGGTGCTAAATCTCTTGACCCGCCTGTGAGTGCTGGAGAACAAAAAAATGCTAGAGATCACAGCGGGTTAGACAGCAATCCATGGAGTTAAAGCGAGCTAACGTTTCGAATCTACATGACTCTTCATCAGAGCTAGACTCTCTTTAGCTCTAATGGTGTCATCTAGACTCAAAACGTTAACTTGTTTTCTCTTCATGGATGCTGCCTGACCCGCTGTGACCTCCAGCATTTTTTGTTTTCAGTACAGATCCCAGCATCTGCAGTAGTTGGCTCCTACTGGAGCTGCATTTGAATGTTGTGGGTCACAGCCAAGAGGATGAGCAAGTTGTGAACTCCACTGCGCTGCGCGACCTGCCGCGGTGCTGCTGACTCTTTTTACCTCGGAAGGTGGAGCAATTGCTCGGTTCGTTGCGTCCGCTGTTCCCCAAAACACGTTAACCAGTGTATTGACAAATTTTTGTGGGAGAGGGAAAACCAGGAGGCACGATCTCTGTGTTGGTGTTCTTTGGTTCCAAAATGTTGCAGCGGACTGCAAGATTATTACTGTGAGCTTTTCTTGGTAGATTTAGCCATGCGTTACCCGAGCCAGACCAGCCTACACTGTCACAGGTCATTGCTGCCCGGTCAGTCAGGCGAATCTGGTTTGCTTCTATGACCCTTGGGTAACAATGACGATAATTTGCAGAGACGTAATATTTCTAACATAGATGAACATTCTCAGATCCGATACAGGAGTGCAATCTCGAAGTTAAATGACGTCAAACCAAACAACTGGATATTAGGGTAGGGGACATTGGTATTCAGCCCTATATAAGTTGAAAATTAGCATATTTTAAGGCCTGAATTCTGAAAGTTAGACCTGTAGCCTGCAGACATGGTTGATCAGAAACAAACATTTTACTGAAGTCTGGAATTCTCCAAATTTAACTCCAAAGTTAGTCAATACTATGTACTGCTATATAGGTTTAAACACAGTATCTTTAAATGCACCTTGGGAGGGGGAAGGGGCAGCGTTTAAGTCTTTTGCTTTGCCATCCTCTGCAGAGCTGTCTGCAGTTGATATAAAACTTTTTATTCCTGTAAGGGAAATAGTGTGCATTCTACAGGATACACAGGGAAGCTAACTGGATGCCTTAGCTTGGTTTGGAGATTTTGGAAAGACTTCCAGCATTGTGTTTCAAGAAAGCATTGGGGCATTTATGGAGAGTTTTAGTAAGACTAAATTTTGACTATTGAACCAAAAGTCAAGCGTTGCTACATGGCTTTGATATACTGAGAGATTAAGTTATTAATCCAGATTGGTGTGCTTTATTTCAGGATGGCACAAGACGTGGTCGACCAAGAGCAGAGTTAATCCGTGATCTCATAAATGAGGGTGAGCACTCCTCAAGCAGAATCCGCTGTAACATTTGTAACCGAGTGTTTCCTCGTGAGAAATCCTTACAAGCTCACAAGAGAACACACACTGGTAAGATTTATAGCTTTTCGTGGGTATCTTATATTGGCACATGAAATAAACCATGGTCCTTGCATATTACAAGTGATAACCTGTTGGTATAAACAATGGAAAGCAGGTGATTACTTTGCGGCTTGTCATATCACAGTCCATCACTTGGTAGAAATTTCTATGAATATCCCAATGTAATCTGGTTGAAGACACTAGACAAATTAATTTCTTATTGTTTTTGATGCAGTCTGTTATTTATCTACAAAGTTTTAGTTTAAAATGTGTTGTGAATTCAAGTGTTTAGTCGTTTTGGGTCATTTTGCTTCATTTCTGACTATGCACTTGTTATCACCCAAAATAACTCATCATTCTAGTCTTCATGTCAAGATTGTTGCTCAATGGCAAAACTTGCTAACAAATCGTTGGATCCTGTTATTTACCAAAATTGCACTAGTCATGAATTTGAGTAATCATGCTAAATTGAAAGCTTTTTTATTTCAGTCAGTAACATTTTCCTTCGATGACAAGTAGATTCTGTTACTACTTTCACTCATATGACTTTTTGTGCCACTTATTGCATACCTTACTTTATTGTTAAAGTACAGCTGAGAAGAACTTAAAATATTCCTTTAAATGTGGAAAGTATGATTACTTAGGAATCTTGGCTATTCTTGTATATATTCCTTGGATATTGGGCTAGCTTTCTTTAAAACTGCACCTGCTAACATCTATTGGATTATTTATTGTTGGAGATTCCCTAACCTGGGAGTACTTGTCTTTTTAAATGGATTTAACTTTGCATGTGTAACCATAGCATAACATTGAGCTTGAGGCTCATCATTTATTTGCATAACTAAAGAGATGTTTTCAGAGGAGATTGCAGATTAAAAGTTCCATTGAAAAGTTATCCTTATTTCATGTTATTCAGAAACCATTTGGATACTTCTTGTGTTCAACGTTTTTCCCCCTTTCTGCCTCCAAACATAATTAAGAGCTGTCCAAAATGTAATCAGTAGAACCAAATGGTAACTGAACCTGACTAGCTGAAATTATCGAATTGAAACCATGTTTAAAATAAGGCAGGACTAATTTTAAATGCATTTTATTTGCTGAAATTGAGAGATAATTTGCATGAGCCAGACACCTATTTCTTAGTGCACACTATTCACTTTAAATTATTAATGATTTGGTTGTAATTTCTAATTTGTCTAAGCCAAGTAAATATTGCAGGGGTCTGTTGGTTATATAATTTGCTGCAAGATCACTAATAAATGTAAACCTTTAAAGTGAGCTTCAGAAAATTCAAGCTGTATTTTTTCAAATGAACAAGTTGAGCAAGGATTATAGTCTTCAATTGATTGTATTACTGTGGGTTTCTTTTAGGTGAAAGACCGTATTTATGTGACTACCCGAATTGTGGGAAAGCATTTGTTCAGAGTGGGCAACTAAAAACTCACCAGCGCCTTCACACTGGGGAAAAGCCTTTTGTTTGCTCTGAAACTGGTAAATTATCAAATTCTACTTTTCATGTCTCTATTAGTGTAGCAACAAAGTAAAGTCAAGCCTTTAGGTTTTCACTTTGTGCATGCTTGATATCTTATGTCTCTTAATTGTGGATGATCAATTGTTTTGGATTAAGGAGGGCTTGCAGTAAATATGGGGCCAGCACGTTCAATGCTTTTGATGCCTATACATTCTCTACCACATGCAAAAGTGAAAGACAAGATTGAAAGAGAAAGGAGTATGGTCAGTGGGAGGGAGACTTTGTTTAAGTGAAGCTAAGAGAGTATATCCAAGAATTTAGATCCAAGTAGTAATTTTTCACATGAACAAAAGACTGGTACGTTAAATTAAGTTTGCTTCAGGCAGTATTTATTGAAGGGTGGGGAGGAGATCTATTTCACTATCTCTTTCCTTTAAATCTGCAGTAGTTCATAGGCAATTTAGTGCCGCAGATAGAGCAGTAACTAGTATTGTCAGAAACTGTAAGTATTGAATTGTTTCATCAATATTGTAAAGTTTACTGACAGTGTTTCAATATTTTGAGAGGTGCAGGCTTTGTTAATTATAAATTTATTAATTAGCAATGCCTATATAATTAATACCTATTAGAGATAGCAGGACAGGTGATATGTTGTGATTGCAGAATGTAGGTGCTTCAGGATGCCAGTGTGACAAGGGGAAATACATCTGCAGCAGGTGCTTGCATCTGCAGGAAATTTGACTCAGGATTTATCAAGTTGCAGACACTGGCATATCAAGAGAGGAAGAATTACATGGACTCTTTATTCCAGGAGGCAGTCCCACTCCTTAAGATAGGTTTTTATGATTTGGTTTATGGTTATGGACAGGAAGGCTTTTCTGTAAGGGAGGCAGGTAAAGGGATCTAGAGTGCGAGAGCCTTGTCCTTTGCAATTGTCCACACTTTGAAATTTTTGTAGCTTGTTTGCTCGAGAGTGCGGGCTACAGTGCAAGTGTTTTGCCCATGTCAAAAATGATAGTTTTGGTACTCTGCCTGAATCACATGCAAATTGGCATGGGATGAATAGATTAATGTGACTGCATGGATCAAAGACTAGTGTGTCAGAATTGGGTATAAACTAAATGGGAGTGGTGGGGATGAGGGACCTTGCTTGTAAAGTTGTATCAAAGCGGGAGTGAGATGATGCAGATAAACAAAATACTAAGTTAGAAAATGAACAGCAGAGAGGGGAAAAATTTCTGAAGACTAAACCAGCAATAAAAGATGTAATAGTGGAGCATTTACAATTGGAATGACTTTTTGAAGGGGAAATTATGTCTGACAAACCCATTAGAGTTCTTTAAGTATGTAACAAGCAGGATAGATGAAGGGGAGCCAATTGATGTATATATGGCATATATGTATAATATATATACCTACTTAATAATAAGATAATGGTCTAAGGTGTAGAGAATAGTAAATTCACGTGGATCAGCTGATGAATAAAAGGCAGAATTGGGGTAAAGTGGGCATTTTCAGGATGGTAACTTTTATTCTTGTGGCACTCCACTACTTTATAAGTGCTGGAGGCATGATTATTTGCAATATATATTAATGATTTGGATTAAAAATAGTGAATGCACTATTGCCAAGTTTGCAGATGTCACAAACATAGATGGGAAGGCAAGTGGTGAGGATGACAATGGCACAGCTCAATGGGTAGTGCTGCTGCCTCACAACTCTGGGGACCTGGGTTCAATGCCACCCTCAGGCGTCTGTCTGTGTGGAGTTTGCGGATTCTCCCCATGTCTGCATGGATTTCCTCTGGGTGCTCCAGTTTCCTCCCACAGTTAAAGATGCACAGGCTGGGTCGATTAACCATGCAAAATGCAGGGTTACAGAGATAGGGTATGGGGTGGGTCGGGGTGGGCTGCTCTTCAGAGGGTCGGGGTGGGCTCAGTGGGCCGAATGGCCTGCTTCCGCACTGTATGGATTCTATGACAACATCTATAAAGGAATATAGGCAGTTTGAGTGAGTGGACAAAAGCATGGCAGTATAAAGTGGAAAATGTGAGATTATGCACTTTGGCAGGATGAATGGATGAGCTGAATGTTATTTAAATAGAGGGAGTCTACAGCAAGCTGCAGGACAAGAGGAATTTGAGGGTAATCATCCATGAATTGCAGAAAACTATTACCTAAATTCAGCAGGCAAGGGGAAGACAAAGATAATGTTTGCCTTTGAAATAAATGCTATGGAATATAACATTAGAGAGGTTTTGCTAAAAATACAGAAGGCATAAGTGGGACCACAGCTGGAATACTGTGAACCGTTTTGTTCCCCTGAAGGAAAGCTATATTGACATTGAAGACAATCCATCGAAATTCTTGATGTTGATTTGGACCATGAGGAGAGGTTGAGTAGGTTTTGCTGTATTCCTTGGAGTTTAGAAGAATGAAAGGAGACTTTATCGAGGCGTATAAGATTATCAGGAGGTTTGACAGGGTAAGTGTGGAGAGGTTTTTCCTTTGGTGCATTATGGAGCATAATCTTCAGTAAGGTATTGGCCATTTAAGACAGATGAGTGGGGAGTTTTTTCTCTCATAAAGTAGTGAACCTGTGGAACCTGTTACCATGAAGGCTGTCAAGTTTGGATTATTAAGTATATTTGAGGCTGAGATGGAGTTTTTTTTTAATCAACAAGTTGATTGTGCCGTCTTCGGCACGTACAGAATGTGAGTCACCCATCACAGGACTTATTCAAGCTCATGCAGCTGTCGAATATTATCAACAATTTTAACCCATCCTATACAGTCCACCCCGATGATATTTGACAACGCATGTTACAATTGCGGGCACAGACGCAAATCTGCGCAAGAATGTATAATAAGAGTGTGTAACCTACACCAGAAAATTAAAGCTACAATGAAAATAACTACCATAAATACAAGCATTAGAACAATAGGGTGTATCATCAAATTAATGCTCGCAGTGACTTTTGGGGACCAGCCCTTAAATGTATCCCACCATGATATATGGCCAAGGCCATGATGCAATCAGCAAGTCATGTTAACATTAAGTTCCCCTTTTGCCACATGCCTGTCTGCCTCTGGGATCAAAAATTGAAAAGAGCCCACAGAGGATTAGTGTTTTCATGCTTACGCTAATGTCAGTAATAATCTTAATTACAGTCATCGTGTAACCATGTCACATATTTAAACGCGACCTTGGGGTCGAGGATCCTGTTCCTGCTGCTTGTTGGTGATCACGTGGTGAGGGCCCTTAAAACCTGCACGAGGGAGAGAAGTGAGAGAGAGTGCCAGACTAGCTGGCTGTTAGTCGGTTCTTTTTATTCTGGCATTTGGATCTTTCTGTGCATTTTAACTTTAATTACTGCTGCCACCTGACTGAGGCAACCAGAATATTGTCTACATTTTTTTGCCATCAATCTTTTTACATAATTTGCTCTAAAATTCAGTATATTCCAGATTCAGGTTCCTGAATTTGTGTTTTTTTTTAAATTGTCCTGTTCCCTAACCACAGATCACCTCACCCAATATCAGTAAAATAACGTCATACATGGACTTAAAATTTCTTCAGCTCTCTTCATTTGTATCAGCCTTGAGGATACTTCTTCAATATGTATCCTTCCTCACCAATTTTATGAATGATTGTCTCATTGAGTAGTAACTACCTCCAGATGCTAGTACCCCCTTTAAGCTGGGATATACATGGGATCAAACAATACAGCTCTACGTTCATCAGGCTTTACCTTCAGCTTATGCTTCCCACCTTTTATTTTTCCCAGGGTTCCCTTACCGCAGACTCCAACACCACTTGAGTCTTAGCTCAGCCTTCTTTCACATACACTTAACTGTCTTAACACATTACAATTTCACATACTGGTTTAAACACTGGAGTACATGCATCATACAAATGCTCAAGATAGGATACCTGTATGTCATGCAATAGGCCCTTTCACTCAGTCCACTATTGCTCCTCCCAGAGTCTATATTCTTTCATTTCTGTAACATTTTGACATAATAGCCAATCAGTTTTTATTTTGATTTAAATTCTTTTCACATCCCTTTCACTAATACGTCTCATCCAATTTTGCAATTTGATTATTACCACCGATTTAATTCCAGAGCTCTGGAGAGATTTGTAGTCCATGGCACATAATCTTACAGTATTTTAAAACAGAAGTTGAACATTTCTGTTTGATTCAGGCAAAACATACTTTGTTCTTTCTCTAAGATGACCCACATTTTTAAAAAAGTTATTTGATAACTCATTCTAGATACTTGATATATCTCTACTTAAATTTGTCTAAATTCAATATTCTGTTTACTCCCTCAAAGTCACTGACCATTTTTAATGCGTTGAAACCACTGAGACTGTGTGGATGCACTTTATCATTTCGCAGAATCCCTTTAAATTTTCAGGGTAACTATTCCATTTAAATCTTTCAGAATACCAGGGCATGTGAGTCCTAATATAGTTTTTGTCATGATATGCTTAAGTGTATCCAGGCTCAGTGGTTTTGAGATTCCTGATACGCAATACATTTAATGTTTCACAGTAGTTCTCCAACTACTGAGATGTGGTTATTGATGAATGGCTTGATGGTGCCTCATCCATCACTGTGTTGCGATGGTGAAAGTCTGCAAACAGGTGCAGCATTCAGTGTCTCTAATTTCTAAACAAAAAACAGCCTCCATCCATTCCATGTCAAGCAGAATGGGTTAATTATTACTAATCTAATACAGATTCAAAAAAAGGGATGGGGTGTAAACTCTTGCACGTAATTATGTCATCCGTCTCTCCTCTTCCTGTGAGGAAATGTGCGTTACGCTTTAACAAAGGAAAAGCTCATCTGTTTTGTTAAAATTGCGTTTTCTAAACTCCTTGCCCACAGAGAGTTGCATTTTCAACATTCCAATGACTCTGTCACTTGAATAATTTTACACCAAAATATATTTACAATGAACCAATCTTACCATCCAGAATTAAAAGTGCACTCATGTTAAAACAGTATTTGGAAGTTCACCCTGGCCTGAAAATGAAATTCCAAACATGGTAATTTCTGGAATTAAAATTTACGCAAGATTCTTTCCTCAGTCCAAACACAACACAGAGCCAATTCAAAAAGGCAAATTTTTACCAAGCTTTATGAGCCAAACTTTTGAATCAACATTCCGTCACAGATTTCTTCTTTACACAACCACTGATGGTTTCTTGAAAGGACATTACATTAATCATACATGTTCCATACTGATGCAGGCACACTTTACACTTTTAAATCACCATAGATTCCCAAAATGCAAACTGACTGCAAAGCATCCCCCGATCTTGAGCTCCAGGGAACAAAAACACACAAATTGCACACTTTTAGTTCAGTGCTTGTTCCTTTTCTTAGACATTTTCCTGAATCCCGTCCTCATTGCCAAAAATGTCTTGGGATCGTTCACAATCCTGGTCCGAGGGGAAGTCCAGTGGTTCGGAACAAAACTCTTCTACAGTGTAATGAGCCACATGTACAGAAAAACAAATTGATTGTGCCGTCTTCAGCACGTACAGGAATGTAAGTCACCCATCACAGAACTTATTCAACAGTTGCATGACCTTGAATATCATCAACAATTCTAACCCATCCTATACAGCATGTAATCACAAGATTCTTGGGATGCTGGCCTTTAATAAGAAATGAATTGAGCTTTGAAGCCTAACATCCTTATTTATGTTATACATGGCAGGGTGAAATATTATGTACAGTTTTGTTCTCCTTATTTAAGAAAGTTTATTAGATTGATACTTGGAAAGAGTGGGTTGTCTAATGAGGAAAGATTTGACATGGTGGGCTTGTTTACAATGGAGTTCAAAAGAGTGAGGGGTGATTTGATTGAAGTTTGAGGCATGAATGGTCTTCACAAGGTGGATGTAGAAGGTATTTTTCCTCTGGTGGGTGAGTCCAGAACTAAGGGACACTAGGACACTAAGCGAAATAAGGACAGAGATGAGGGGAATTTTTTTCAGAGTTGTATGACTTTGAAACTGCTTTAAAAGGCAGGTGGAGGTGGAGTCATTGAAATTTTGCAGATGGAACTAGGTAGACGCTTCTTGGTGAACTAAATCAAAGGTTATCCATGATAGCTGGGAATGTGGAACTTGAAGTATACAGAGCAGCCTGAGTTCCCTCTAATTTTCTTCTTGGCTGCTCAGGCCTTGGAGCTCCATGTGTGGCTGTGACCTCTGAAACCAGAAGGCTATACATATTCCGCTGCTAATGCTGATCACTCTGCACAGAAGCTTGGAATGTACAGTTACACAGCTTAGAGTGAATGTTGACCACAACCTCATTAAATGGTGGAGCACCCTTGAAGGGTCGAATAGCCTACATCTGCTTCTAGTTCGTACCTGTGTAATTCTGCAAACTTTGCCAAATAGGTGCTTGGTACGAGGATATTTTGATTCTGCTATTCCAGATGCTGCTCTGTTGTATACTTTAGGATTACATTGAAAGCTTTATTGAGGGTTGAACGAGGTGTGCGTAGAAATAGAGGAGCAGGAATTTGCTGGTCTGAAAGACATTGGAGAAAGGAAAAAAAAAACATTTACCACTTCAGCATTTCCTCAGGGTTATTTGCGCATCTCTCCAAACGTGCAGACGAAAGTTTGTCTGTTGTATGTAGAAATACAATGTACAAAATATAAACTGAATGCTGCAGATGTTTTGTCAGTCTTTCGAAGTTGAATTAGGGGAGTGCTATCTTTGAAACATAAATCCTCTAAAATAAGTTGCTAAATGGGTACCTGTTTTGGAAGTGAAAAGTAATGTAGCATCCGCTGAATTCTCCGCAGGCTGTGGAAGCAGGTTTACACATGCAAACCGCCATTGTACCAAGCATCCTTATGCACGTTTACGGAGAGATGAAGTGTCCAGTGGAGCAAACAAAACACAGGCTGCAGACAACAAGGCTGTTGCAGAATGGCTGGCAAAGTGAGTATGTTTGGAAAGAATACCTGGTAGATTGTTTATTAATGGTTTATTAGCTAATGATTCAGTCATCAATTGATACTAAAATATCTGTTTGTTCACGTTGGAAAAAAATCAGAATTTGTCTACAATGGTTTGTGCAAAAGCCCCAAATGTTGTAAATACCACAGAGTTTAGTATCAGTAAGAGAACCTTCTGTTTCTTGATCTGGAAGGACAGTCATTTTGTAATCTTTCTTGTCTTAACTTGATTTATGGTATGTGCGGGAGGGGAGGACACATGTGCAGAGCACAGTTGAGCACATGCTGGATGGAGGGGTTCAGGGCGGGCAGCTTGCAAGAGGAAGAGGTCAGGGTGGGATATGTCCAAGGTGTGCAGGGTGTTGAGGTGGGATGGGTGCAGGGAGGGAGGGGGTCCGGGTGGGGATGTGTGGTATAAGGAAGGGACCTGGATGTGTGCAGGGAGGGGAGTTGAGGCGCATGCATCAGAGGGTGGAAGGGAGCAAAGGGAATAGCATTAGATGTGCAGACAGGGATGTGTAGAGGGAGTCATGTGCACACAGGGTTGTGTGAGGGGGGGCAGAGATGGTGTGTTCATACGAGAGTAGGTGATGGGCCAGCTTGAAGTTGAGGTGTGCCCCTAGTGTGAGAAGGAGGGTTTTCCCGTGTTGGATCAGAAGGCGGAGTGAGAGTATGTGCAGGGGAGGCTGAAGAAAGAGTGTGTTTGTGTGCGAACCAGATCCATCCACATATCTCCTCGCACTCCCTAAAAACCTAACCACATAGCAAGCTGGAAGAGGAAGACAGCCCAATTTGTAGGTCCAAACCTGACTGTCTGAATCATGCTGAAGCCAGCTTGAAGTGTGTACCATCAGAGGTGAAAGCAATGTTGTTGTCAAATCCTGATTCCTACCCTCCCCCAGTCCCTCAATAGAGTCAGGATTTGGGCCCTACAGTGTCTCTCGATCTTACCTGATAACAAAATAGGTTTTATTTGTTAACTGCTGCTTGACTCTTTGTAATAGTCATTTTCATTGATCACCCTTTTTAAAAAAGGGTCACATTTACTCTTGTAACCAACATCTTTCTGAAATTTGCGGCAGCCCCCTACCCCTCCAAGTGAGAAAGGAATTGAAATATGACCCTCTATGTATAAAGGTTGATGCCCTGTCTAAATATAATTATTCATAAAAAGCATAAAGTAATAAAAATCACACGATTATGAACATTAATTATTGTATACCTAAATGCATGTCTTCTTAACTTACAGAATAAAAATGAAAAGTTGACCACATTCTTTGATTTGTGTTGAAGCCTGTAGACATCTTTCTGCTTATTTTGAAGTATTTTTATATGAACAGATTGTGTAAAGCAAAGTGGTTTATTTCCAATTGGTAGATAAAGATGGTGCGCATCTTTAAACTGGGAATACCCTGTGTCCACATTCTGTCTACCCGTAGATATTGGGAGACCCGAGAACAGCGTACCCATCCTGTGAAGAGCACTGGACAGAAGGCTGACCAGGAGCAGCAGGATCCTTTGGAGTTCATACAGTCCGATGAAGATGAAGAGGAAGAGAAAAATGGATCACACGCCGCAGCATGTCGACGTATTCAAGAGCAACGGGAGCGACTACATGGTGCGCTGGCTCTCATCGAGCTGGCGAACTTAACTGAAGCACAGTTGCGCCAGTAACTTCAATGCTTACCTTTTATGAAATGGAACTGTCTGTGGACTAAAGTCCTACTAGTCCACCAGACAAGTCATGCACCTTATATTTTGCTTCTAATAGGCTGCTATTATGTAGATTTGAAGATAATGAATGTTGTTGCCCTTGCTTAAAGGAGCACAAGTGTTATGCACTTTTTGTCTGGAACAGGTTTATGTAAAGTTTTAGTTTAGTAAATATTGCAAAGCTTTGAAGGAAGGATCAGATTATGTCGAGCAGGAATTGAATCTGCAGGTGCTGAATTCTAGGTGTAGCAGGAATATTTGACTTGTGTTTATAGTGCAAAATTTGCACTCTTTGGCATGTAAGATGAGCAGTGCCTTTCTAAGATCTTTCTTTGTGATCTTGACTTCGGTTAAGCTTCAGTGTACACTTTTCACTGGCACCATTATGAGCTTAAAACAAGCACCTAAGAATTCAGTTAATATAACAAAAATTTAAGATGACAATTTAACCTTTCTGTTTATCTGGCACTAACTGCATTGCAAGTATAACTCATTGTTCTTGTTTAAACTTTTAGATTTCCAGCATTTCATCTGAGTCATGGTCCAAATTCTATAATTCTGTTTAATTATTAAAAGCTGCTGCGTTCCATGACTTTTTCATTTCAGCAATCCTTTACAATGCACTGATGGTACATTCACCAGAATCTTCTACTTCAGAACTGCTACTATATTGGAAATGGCAGTGGTGTGATTTCTTTTTTACCAATTATCCACAATGAATAAATGCCCTCTGCCATTAGCATTGTAGCAAGCAACTTCAGCTTAGTCCCACCTGCCCTACATGTGTGTAGTACTACCTCTGACAGGTTGATTAGAAAGTATCTAAAAATACCATTAAGCAGAACCTTTGAAATATATGTTGCATGGACCAAATGTTGATGTAATGTAAGATGCAGTATTGTCTAAAGTACCACTGAACTAGATTATTGTATTTCACTTAATATTCTAATTTTTAAAACAAAAACTAACTTGGAATTTGAAAGAGCTATTGGTCTTGTTTGCAGCTAGTTGAAGCATTTGGAAAAATATTTTTGTCCTCTTGAATGGTTATTGGTAAATTGTGACATCTGATCTAACTGAACTTGATTATTTTGTGTAGATGGTCATGAGCACTTAAACCTTCTTGCTGAAGATTGGTATCACTGAGGTGAACAATGAACGTATAGCACTAGGCTTTTTCTTTATAGCACTAAAAGTACAGGTGGCTACGGATTTCTGTTCCAGACAAATATTGACAAATTGCACCTTTTGTTTGTTTAAATGCAACTTGTATTCCATCAAGCAATCCTGAGAGGCTTGGTCTTGATTTGGAGAAAATGATTTGAGTTAACTGGTGTCACTCAACAAATGCTGTGGATTTCTGTACTTAACTGCATATAGTGTGTATTGCTGCCTGGGTACTACAATCTTGTGTAATAAGCCCTAAAAACAGTGAAAACACTGATTTATAAATAGCCTGCATTAAACCTAATGTGTAAAATGCAGGCTTGGAGGCCTACAAGAGAAATGTGGTACTGATTAATTTTAGTTGTATAATGAAATTTACATTGGGTGACTTTTGGTAATGGAAGAAGATTTGTTGAATTTCCTGTTGGCAACACTAAATTGTATTGCTTTGTATCAATAGTTTTATTATAATCATATTGCAGTTTTATAGCTTGCCGTTTATTGCTTTGTTGCAGTGTTTTTTTTAAATCCTCTTAACTTTGCTGACTACTTCATTTTGGTTTTCAGTAATCCAATATGTTCTGCTTTTTCTTTTACCATTTAAATATATACTTACTGCATGAAGTTTTTAATTCTATAAGTTTACAAGCTTGAAATGCAGTTTTGGTATAGATTTAACAGCTGTCATTATTGCATATGTGTTAAACACGTTTGCAATTAACAGCATTAGCTAAGCAACCAAGATTGAATAATTTGGTCACTTTCCAAAAAAATAGCAGTCTAGCCTCAGTGCCAAACGGAAGTGATTTTATGGAATTCCAAACCTATCATGCCAGTTCAGTTTCTTTTCAATACTTCCTTCATCAGCTAACTAGGTTTTGTAATTATAACTTATTTATTTTAGGTTTGAGTCAAATATAACTGATGACTATTCAATATATAGTTTGTTTTAATGAAGAAGATGGACTGCACTGGAGATGTATGAGCCTCTAACTTTTTGTTTTGTTTCAAACTAAATGTCACAGTATGTTTGCAGGTGGTGTAGTTTGTGTTCAGTGACAACACTTCAATCTTTAAAATGGTCATGGTTAGGAGTATGAGTTGTTAATTCCTCTGATCTCTGCTACAATCTGCATCCATCTGATTGGCAAAGGTTTGCAACTAACAAAGAATATTAGTCAGTAATAATTTTTAAGTCCACAAAGATTTGGAGAGTATTGTAGAAATTGAGAGATCATACAACTCCAGTTCGTGAGAGATAATTGGATGTTGAAAGAGTCTCAAACAGAATGCCTGTTTTTCTCAGTTTCATTTGTTAAAGAGTTTGTGAAATTTAATTGCTCTGTCACCAATTCTAATTTAAGTAGATTTGCAAGCCAGAACGGAACTTGTTAAGTGTGACTGACAAGGACATTTGTCATTTAGCCTTGCTAGGCTCATGATTACTGTACATTATTTGTGCAATGCAGTTACATAGCTGCACATTATATTCTAAAATTGAATTTATATTCCTTTTTTTTATACTTGCTAACTTTTGTCTTTTGTATCATGTATTGGTCTATGCTGAAGGAAGAGATGTGAAGGTGGTCTCTCTCCAGGCCTCAACAAAGTTTCTCCAAGTCTCACTGGCCTCACATAAACCTTTCCCTCTCCCTTGGCTGAGATCTAATTTCATCTTTTTAAAGTTCCTCAATACTACTTTCAAATTCCATTAATTAAAGAACCATGATAATATTTCATGCTAACTATACTCTGATTTACTGTTTGGTTATGGATGTAACCTGGTAGTGGAATTTAGAAGGTGGAGGATTTTTGAGGCGTCTTTGAATTGTTGATTTGTGGGGCCACTGCTGCTTTAAGGGTGAGCTTTTCTGACTGCACTTAACCTTGTTTTGTTCCAAGTACCTATTATTGATGTAATAGAGTTAAATAGTTCATCAAAAAGCAATTAGGATCTACTAACTTAAAGGGAATCTGACATGACAAATAGCCTGTCTGGGGAAACGCTGATTCTATGTTTGGAATGGCAATTTTTCATTCATAAGTGTCATTCTTGGCTGTTTAATGCATGTACATTTTGCACTGGAGTTGGATACTCAGAGGTAATATTTCTTGTTTGGGTTTTGATATTTTTAGAAGGAATCTGATCAGTTGGGTTTTCTGGGGCTTTGTTTTAATAAGGCTGCTTTATGTACTTGGATTCAAGTGCCAAATTCACTTTTATTTCCCCCTAATCTCGCTGAGCATTTTTTCCCTATCATTGTATGATTATCAAATTGTAAAGACCAAGACTGTCACCAGCTTGAATCTGCCTTTGTTCATTAAACAAGTACCTGGTAAATCTACTGAAGTTTTAAATTCATTATTATTCAATAAATATCAGTAGTGCTAAAATGTTGTCTCTCTTTATTGAATCCAGATTGTGAGGTTAACTATCCATTGGTGAGGCAGTAATTTTGGAAGAATTTACCAAACCAAAAATACTTTTCCTTAGTATAAGAAGAAACATTATATAAAATACTGGTGTTTGTTTTCTACGTAATGGTGCATATCAAAAGACTGTGTTGTAAAAATTGAATTCGTGGAACTCTAGTTTGTGGGGACTAATTGCAGGTAGAAAGCATTTCAAACAAATTTGAAGACACTGTTCACAATCAAAAATTAACAACTTAAATTGTGGGATTATCATGAATATCCTTTGGAGATTGGTAAAGTGATTAGTGAATTCTTTCAAAATTCATGGATGTGGATGTTTGTAGCTAGACCAGCATGCCTTGCCTATCCCTAGTTGTGTTTAAGAAGATGGTTGTGACCTGCCTTCTAACTGCTGCAGTCGCTTTGAACTGTCGTATTTCATTTGATGTGGGTACACGTGGAATGCCATTGGAGTGTTTTTTTTTCCAGAATTTTGACTCAGTTACACTGAATCAAGAGAGAGAGATTTCCAAGTCAAGATGGTGATTGGCATGGAGGGAAGCCCACAGTTGGTGGTCTTCCTATGTGTCTGCTGCCCTCTGTGTTTCTAGGTGGTAGTAGTCATGGATTTGAAAGTAGCTTTCCAAGAAGCCTTGGTGAAATTCTGCTGTGCATCTTGTATATGGATACTACTGAGCATTGGCGTTGAAGAGAGTGAATGTTTGTGGGTATAGTGCCAAGTAAATTAGATGCTTTATTCTGGATGGTATCAAACTTCTTGGATATTGTTGGAGCTGCACTCATCTATGCAAGTAGGGAATATTCAGTCACACTCTTGGCTTGTGCCCTTTGTAGATGGTGGACAGGCTTCTGTGGTGTCATGTGGCGAGTTCCCCACTGCAGGATTCTCAGCCTCTGACCATGGTCTTGTAACCACTGTACTTGTATGACTAGTCCAGTTCCTTTTCTGGTCAGCAGTAATCCTGGGATTCAGTGATATTTATGTCATTGAGTGTCCACTGGTGATGGTTAGATTTTATCTTGTTAGAGATGGTCAAAGCCTGGCACTTGTGTAGTATGAATGCTACTTGCCACTTGTCATCCCAAACCTATGTTGTCCAGGTCTTGCTGCATTTGGTCATGGAGTGCTTCAGTTTCTGAGGAGTTGTGACTGGTGCTGAACTTTGTGCAGTCATCAGTGAAGATCCCCACTTCTGACCTTGTGATGAAGGGAAGGTAATTGATGAGATACTGAAGGCGGTTGTCTTGTAACACTACCCTGAGTAATGGATCACTAGTATCCTTGGATGATTCATGTTGAAATTTAGCTATTTGGTACAGTTATGATTTTTGTATTTCGTAACTTGCCTTTTTAAATTTAGGGTAGCCGAAGGGGTTCCTATTCACTGCAGTTTGTCTATTTTAATTATTGGTCATTGTTGAGGAATGGTTAGATTCTTTCATATGACCATGCATTTTTCTCTTGCTGTTTATTGCTTAGGAGCAAGGTATCTTGCTGTCTCTTTCATCATACATACTTCAGGTTAAATGCAATAATGCCAAATTTCACGGGACCACAATAATGCATACTTCAGGTAAAAAGAATGCTGATTGATTCACAAACTGACTGGATCTCAAGAAACTAATGGAACTAAATTCTCCCCAAATCCTTGTTAATTTGAAAAAAAAATGCTGCAAGGCTTGAACATATTCTTTTTGTTCATTAGAAATTGGTCCATGTGTATGAATGTATGCTGCTTCATCAAATATCCATGAGCTGTCTTCTGAGTGATCATCTTAAATTAGATGTTAATTAGCTAATTGGCACACTTTTAAAGGTTCAACAAATGCTGTTCAATCATTGTTGTTTGTGATTTTTTTGCCTATGGTTCAAAAGTACTTAATTGGTTTTAAGGTATGTTGGGATATCTTGAGACCATCAAAAACACTATGTGAATACCAATCTTTTTTCCTTTTATCCAAATTCCCACAACTTTTTCTTCATTCTCAATTCATTTCTGACTCTGATATTTGTCCTAATTCCCAAGTTTTTATTCAATTTGATACTGTTTTTGTCTTTTTGAATCATTAAATGTACTCCAGGAAATATCCTTTGCATTTTGCTCTTGTCTGCACAATTATTTGAATGTTAGCTATAAGGCAACAGTAATGAGCTTTTTTTAAATTTTTTTTTAAAATGTGTAATGTAGCTTGATATGAATGATTCAGTAGAATTAACGTTTTTTACAGTTTAGGCTAGTTGAGTTCAGAATTATAATTGCCGAGAGCACTGAATGCAATAATACATTGTGAACAATACAATTCATCCAGCAATGGCTAAATTAACTAAAAAACTTATAATGACCTAATGTATCTTAAATTTGCTAGGGAAATTAATGCATTGATTATGCTAATTGAATTTGTGGCTGACAGAGAGCTTATGCTTACAGTGAATCTTTAATTTTTAGGTAACCCCATGACACTTAGCACTGGAATTGTCTTACGGTGTCCATGCCCTACATTTTAAAAAAAATTTAAAAAACAATACGCACCATGCACATTGTTCTGAGTTTAGCTTACAGAATGGTCTACAAGTTTACCATTGTGATGTCACAAGGATTTGACAATATAATGTTATCAACCACCGGACTATTTTTTTTTCCCCCACATCTTTCTAAATTGTTCACCTATATATTAAGGGTCTTGGGCATAAGACAATAAGAGCAAAACTCTTGCTTTTACTTTTGTAATTTTGCTTGGCTGTCATTCTTAATAGCACAGTTTTAAGTGCTAGCTGCATTGAGACCAATGCTGATCAATCACTTGAACTAATTAACCATTTAATATAGTTTGTAATTGAGACTTTGCAGAACACCATGGGGAATAAGGGTCTAGTTGGAAATGCAAAATCCTGATTTTCACTTGCAGCAGAAATGACACCAATATGCCACAAGATGGTGATATTCTCTGCAGTGCAATGATACAGGGCATTTATAGAATCCTTGAGCATCTTTAAATTTCAACACTGCAGTTTTCTTCTATCATGTGTACATCTAATAACAGAAAAGCATAGTTATTAAAGCTTTAACTATACAGTTTAAAATTTCTAGACTTCAACAGAATTGCCATATGGTGCATATTTAATCTGATTTTCCTGCAGTTTACTCTCTTTAATTTTCAGCTTCATCATCTGAAATAAAACAGAAGAACATTCACAACATTCATATTAGAGCTATTGAATTTTGTTTTAGTATGACATTTACAATTTGCTTTTATCATGTATATCCAAAGCTTATAAAGTTGTGTTCTTCTTGACTCCTCTGGCCAAAGCCAGGTCTGACCCATAGCATTAAACCTTCTTGTAGGCATAGCATGGAGGCAACGTGTCACATTCAAAGATTTATGTACGCAAGCCCCAAGATCATTGTTTCAACATCTTTCAGATTGTGCCATTTAGTTTGTATTGCATCTCATTCTTCTAACCAAAAAAATCATTTCACATTTTGTATTAAATTTCACCCATTGTGTGCTTGCTCATTTCACCAATCTATATCGTCCAGAAGTCTGTTGTTATCCTCCTACTTTACTCCATTTGTGTTTTGTCATTTACAAACTTTGGAATTATGTCCAATATAGTCTATTACAAATAAGTTCTAAGTATCAAAAAGATCAATTATCCTAATCCTCCACTCTAGAGAAAACCACTGTATAGTTTGCTCCTGTCTTCAATGATTGCTTGCTATTGCTTAATACTTTCTGTCCCTGAGCCAATTGTGTATCTGCAGTTTCACACTTTTATTTCCACAGTTTACAGTTTTCTAAAATGTAGCAGAAATATTAGATGGTTGTCTCTTACCATTCTGCCAGAGTCCCAAATGTCAAATACCCCAAATTTCCATGGTTTTCAGTCTTGAACAAATAGAATTATAGAGCTGCACAGCATGGAAACAGATCCTTTGCTACACTCATCCATATCAACCAGATATCGTAAATTAATCTACTCCTATTTGTCACCATTTGGCCCAAATACCTCTAAATATTTCCTCTGGCAGCCCACCCTCTGAAACAGTTGACCATTGGGTCTGTTTTTTTAAAATCTTTCCTCTCTCACCTTAAACCTATGCCCTGATTTTTTGAATAGCCTTGGTCCCCCCCCCCCCCCGCCGGTGCTGGGAAAAGACCTTGGCTATTCATCCTATCTGTGCTCCCCATGATTTTGTAAACCTCTATAAGGTCACTCCTCAGCCTGTAACCTTCCAGAGAAAATAGCTCTAGCCTGTCAGGCTCACGGTGCTTAATGGAAGCTCAAATCCCTGGATTTTGGGGTGGCATGGTGGCTCAGTGGTTAGCACTGCAGCCTCACAGCGCCAGGGGCCTGGGTTTGATTTCCCCCTCAGGCAACTGTCTGTGTGGAATTTGCACATTCTCCCTGTGTCTGTGTGGGTTTCCTCCGGGTGCTTTGATTTCCTCCCACAGTCCAAAGATGTGCAGGCTAGATTGACCAGGATTGACCATGCTAAATTGCCCTAAGTGTTCAGGGATGTGTAGATTAGGTGGGTTTGACGAATGGGTCTGGGTGGGATTCTCTGAAGGTCGGTGTGGACTTGTTGGGCCAAAGGGCCTGTTTCCGCACTGTTGTAATTCTATGGATATTCAGCTTCTCCAAAGTTTTGGCAAAGATCTGTAGTTTGGGTTGTGGGTGAGGTTATTGACATGCTCGCTGAGCTAACTTGTTCTCATTCAGATGTTTTTCACCCTGCTGGGTGACATCATCAGTGGAGCCTCCAATGAAGCAATATTATTCTACTCCACTTGGAATTTACACTGTCTGGTCATTTCTAGTTTTGATCTTGTATGACTTTGTATATGGGTCCAATTCTATGTTTGTTGATTGCATTATGGGTTGAGGACCATGCCTCTAGGAATTCCC